TGTACAGCGGGGCCAATGGAGGGGCGTTATGGAGAGCCCGGGTGGAATGAGGCGGTGGGGGGGGGGGGGGGGGTCAGAGCTGCTTTATCCTCCTGACTGATGGAGGCTTTCAGTCTGCAGGAACACCGAGAGCCGGGGGCCATGGCAGCTAATGGACAGAAGGGGGTGGGGTTCTGCTGCTGCTGTGGGAGAACTGAAATGGACCTGAACTTCTTATACAATATAAGCTCAGGTCCAGGTCCAGGTCCTGATCCGGGCCTCAGTTCTTCTAAAGGTCCAGATGTTCCTGTGACCTGGAAGGGTTCTGGATTAGGTGTTTAACAGAACCAGCTGTTTTTATTTGGACTTAAGCTGCTCTCAGAGTCCAGAACCTTTCAGATCAAGAGTCCAGAACCTTTCAGCTCAGAGTCCAGAAACCAGAACCTGAACCAGAACCTGAACTAGGATCAGGACCTGAACCAAGACCTAAACCAAAACCAGAATGTGAACTAGTATCAGGACCTGAAACAGGGCCTAAATCAGGACCTGAACCAGGACCAGGACTTAAACCAAGATCTAAACCAGGACCTGAACAATCAACTAAAATTCAAATATTCAGACAAAAAGTAGAAACAGTCAAAGACCTTCAGAAAGTCTGGAGAACTGTTGATCCGGATCACTTTCAAGAATTACAGGACAGCTGGGATCACAAGAAGAAGACTTAAAAAACATGAGGCCTGGACCAGGTCTAGACCAGGAGTTTGGATCAGGTCTAGACCAGGAGTTTTTATACTTAAAAACTTTCAGCCAGCAGCTCAGCCCCCCCACAAACAAACAAAAGACTCATTCCAGCTGGGTTCTCCATAAAGACAGGTTAGAACTTGGAGCCGGCGGTCCTGCGGGACACGTCAGAGACTAATTTGTCTCCTTTTGTTCTCAGAAAAGCCAGAAAAGACAAACAACGGTGTGACGGATGAGCTGCACAAACAACACACCTTCATCCTGACTAGGGTTGGAAGCCCCGCCCACTCAGGTGGTCTCAGATCTGCAGGTAGAGGGGGAGGGGCCTCAGTGAAGGTGGAACACACTTCTTTTGGCTTTTCCCTTTTCAGGGGTCTCCACAGCGAGTCCTCCTCTTCCATCTCACTCTGTCCTCACTACAACTACCTCCATGTCCTCTCCAAATGGATGCAGTTGGAGAGGACCGCTGAGTCCATCCACCTGTTTACAGATCTAACAGATGTCGACCACTGAGTCCATCCACTTGCTTACAGATCTAACATATGTCGACCATTGAGTCCATCCACCTGCTAACAGATCTAACAGATGTCAACCGCTGAGTCCATCCACCTGTTTACAGATCTAACAGATGTCGACCACTGAGTCCATCCGCCTCTTTATATCCACACCATGGTAAAACAGTTTGAACCCTTCTCCAATGCTACGAGCCTTGCTGCCCTTCCACTTTGTCTCTTGGACACATAAAACATCTACCTTCCTTCTCTGCATCATGTCAGCCAGCTCTCTACCTTTGCCTGTCATTGTCCCCACATTTAGAGTTGCAAACCTCAGTCCTACATTCTTGACCTTCCTCTTCTCCCTCTGCCTCCTGACACGTTTCCCTCCTCGTGGTTTTCGACTAACACTAACCGGCACAATTTCTGCCGGCACCCTGTTTATCAACAACACTGGTGGCGGTCGTTGTTAACCCGAACCTCAACCAATCCGGTATGATTTCACTTGGATGAACTCGATGAACACTTTGATGCCCTTCCTGACACAACCCTCACCATTTACCCGGACTTGGGACCAGAACCAGAGAGACACTGGCTTGTGCTCCCTAATGGCTGGTTTTGATGGTGAAACACACGTGCAGCTGACTCTTTCTGTCTCATTATACAACTTCTCAGAATTTTAACACTGTAAAACACAGGAATTTAACCAACAAACAAACAAACAAAAAAAAACAACCAGAAACTAAACGAACAAACAGAAACTATTATTATTTTATTTATTTATTAACCTTTATTTAACCAGGTAAATCCCATTGAGATCACAGATCTCTTTTGCAAGAGAGGCCTGGACCTGAAGGCAGACTAACATGTATGTTTTTTGATCTGTGGGAGGAAACCAGAGGGCCCGGAGAAAACCCACGCAAGCACGAGAAGAACATGCAAACTCCACACAGAAAGACCCCAGGTCTAACCGGGGATTGAACTCAGGACCTTCTTGCTGTGAGGCAACAGTGCTAACCACTGAGCCGTCATGCTGCCAAACAAACAAACTAAACAAACTACCATAAATTAAACATACAAACAACCAGAAACTAAACAAACCTCCTAAATAACCCACAGATTTATTATTTCCCTCTCTTATTATTATTATTATTATTAGGTCGAGCAGAAAGAAGGAGAAACAAAATAAAACCGTCTTCGGTCAGTTTACGGAGACAAACAAACAACAGGTCCTCCTGTAGTTTGCCTTCTCCATAAACTACAAGTTAAAATTTGTAAAAACAGCTGCTTCGTGTCAGATTATCTTTTGAAGATTAATAAATCAGATTACAGAGTAGGTTCAGAATACTAAAAATCTAAAACCAGAACTCTGGATCAGGACCTGGACTGGAACTCTGGTTCAGAACCTGGAATGATTGTTTGTGTCGTTTAGAAACAAAGGTTTTGTTGTTTTGTTCTCACGGCTGGAGGGTGACACTTTATTCTCATTTTAAAGAAAAACTGGCGCTTGACTTGATTTTTGACATCTGTAAGATTCCTGCCTCAGATCCACAGACCTGGTCCTTAACGAGCCCGTCGGTCCCGGTCCCAGCCTTAAGACGTCCAGGTCCTTTGAGAACCCTCTCATTTGATTGGTTGGGGTCCCGCCGCCTGCCCTGCTGACCTCTGACACCCCCCCCCCCCTCAGCTGACCTCTGAAGGCACAACAAAGGGATGTGACACTTAACACTGAGTACCAGGACCGACGGTGGTTGAGGTTCACAACCTCAGACTGAAAGGCTTCAGTGCTGCTCGAGGAACTCTGAGACACAAAATAAAAACAACAACTGAAAACAACTAAAAACAACAAAATAAAGACATCAGTTAAAAACAACAAATAAACAATACAATAAAAACAATCACTAAAAACAACAAATTGAAAGCCAATAAAAACAACAAAACAAAGACAACCACTAAAACCAACAACTAAACAACTGGAGCACACAATAAGTAAGCAACCAGAGCAAACAACACATACACAACCGGAGCTAACAACAAGTAAACAACCGGAGCACACAACAAAAACAACCGGAGCACACAACAAATAAACAACCGGAGCACACAACAAATAAACAACGAGAGCAAACAGCAAATAAACAACCAGAGAAAACTACAAATAAACAACCAGAGCACACCACAAATAAACAACTGGAGAAAACAACAAATAAACAACTGGAAAAAACAACAAATAAACAACTGGAAAAAACAACAAATAAACAACCAGAGCACACAACAAATAAACAACCGGAGAAACCAACAAATAAACAACCGGAGCACACAACAAATAAACAACCAGAGCACAGGATCCAGACCAGATCCAGGGGAAGTCAGACCGAGAATAGGCAGAGAATAAAAAAATAAACAAATAAATAAGTGTTTCATCTGGTGAGCCTAAACAAAAACATTTTGTCTGAACTCTGAGCAGCAAAAAAGAAACAATTAACAAATAAACATCACAATAAACAAGTCAAAATAATATTTACTTGATGAATAAAGACTATTTTAAATATTTTCAAATATATAATTTTATACTTCAAATGTTTTCTTTAAGGGCAGCACGGTGGATCAGTTGGTAGAGTTGCTGCCTCTCAGCAAGAAGGTCGCCCCGGTCTAAATCCTGGTCCGAGACCTTTCTGTGTGGAGTCTACATGTTCTCTCTGTGCATGTGTGGGTTTCCTCCCACAGACCAAAAACATGCATGTTAGGTTGATTGGCAACTCTAAATTGTCCCTAATGTTCTGATGATGGACTGGAGACCTGTCCAGGTGTCCCTGTGATAGACTGGGGACCTGTCCAGGTGTCCCTGTGATGGACTGGGGACCTGTCCAGGTGTCCCCACCTCACACACAGTGACTGCTGGACATGGGCACAAGCGACCCCCATGACCCGAAAAGGAAGAAGCGGGTAAAAGTGATGGATGGATGGATGGATGGATGGATGGATGGATGTTTTCTTTAAACATTTACAATTATTTTAACTTTATGTGAAAATATTCCTTTTAGTTTTTATTTGTTTTGAACTTGAATATATTTTCTATGATCTGTTGTTTTTTTTGTTATAATGAATTATTTTGGTGTTTTTTATGTATTTGTTTATTTTTCATGAATTCATCAGATGAATGTTTGAAAGAAAAGTTTCCAGTTAAATATTAATAATAAATAAATAAATGTGTTTTGAGGAGGACTTCCTGCCTCAGACTCACCCGTCAGAGTCCTGATAGTTCACGTTCAGCCTCTTTGTTGACCCGAGCAGCTCTGAAAACAACAACAACAACAACAATTAGAGTCAGGTCGTTTACTGATGATCCCCACCTCCCTCCATGGTGGAACAAATATAAACAATAAACAGGAGTTGGACTTGATTTTTTTCTCAGAGCTTCCTCTGATGAACCGTTAACCCCTGATGAGCCCTCAGCAGGTTCTGAACCCAAATCTGAGTCTGCCGGGTCTGCAGACCTCCTCTGGTTTGAATTAAGATCAAACTAAACCCGGTGTGAACGCTCTGAGGGTTTTATTCTCCAAACCTTGAAGAGACAAAAGCAGGTCAGATCATTTAACGACGGCTCCTCATCAGGACTTCAGGAGGTCTGGGATCTGTCTGTAGACCTGCAGCTTCAGGCCCTGAAGACCAGAACCAGCGTGTTTGAAGTGCTGATGATGTCGGCAGCAACTCCTGTGGGATCTCTGCGCCGCTTTGATCTCGGATAACGAGCCGGATTTTAACATTCATGGGAAGAAATGAGCAGAAACACTGAAAGCAGACGAGGAGGAAGAGTCCCACCGAGACGAAGACACACCAGAACCATCTCCTCTTCATCAGCAGAACCCAGCAGACATGTCTCCGTACCCCAACTGTCACCGCTCTGGTCAGGACTGCAGGTCTGCCTGGAACCAGGGTTCAGTTGGACCAGAACTCAAAGTTCTCCTCAGTTCACACCTCAGATCTTCTCCAACCTTCAGACCTTCAGCTTAAGACAAAGTTCAACACGAGTCAGGCCCAAAGCAAGCCGGTCTGTACCCATCGATACTCATCCGTACTCTTCGATACTCATGGTACTCATCGATACTCATCCGTACTCATTGTGCTCATTTATATTCATCAGTACTCATTGTGTTCATAAATACTCGTCAGTAATCATGGTACTCATCAGTACTCATCAATACTCATGATATTCATCATCAGTACTCATGGTATTCATCAATACACAACAGTACTCATTGATACTTATGGTACTCATTGATACTCATGGTACTCATCAATACTCATGGTACTCAATACTTATGGTACTCATC